CTGTGGTGCGGCATTCTTACTTTTCGGTTACGACTACGACCAGTCATCAGCATGCCAAAGTACATCGACTCATTTCAGCCACTGGTTGAACGATGTCCTTTGTCCACTTGGGTTCATTCCGCTCGACGCCGTCACCGGTGGGCCCCTCTCTCTTCTCCGCACTGGAGACAGGCAGTTCCAGCGCTGCTTCATTCCTCGGACATCGGCGGTGCCCTCCGCAGCCGTGACATCTCCTTGGCGATGCGGCCGCTCTCGGTTCTCGATCTTCGTGAGATCACATTGAGCTTATTCTTTCGACTCTGCATCCCCTGGGATAAAAGGTACCTCCGTCGCCGCCACCGCTACCACTACCGACATCGACCTTTCTCGCAGACATCGCTCTGAAACCATGGTGCGCAAAATCGTTGGAGAGCTGCTGTACAGCCACACTCGGGGTGCCGACAACAGTGTGGATTCCGATGGGAAGCCTGTCTTTGTCGAGTGCAGAGACGAGCAGGGGAACTTCAAGCCCAAGTACTCTTGGACCGAGATCAACAGTGTCTTGGACGCCCGAGGCATGGTCATTGAGCCAGGTTGCGTCCGCGTCCGTCTGCCTGATGGAGTCTCTCGCCGACCGGCCAAGCAAGATCAGCTGCGAGGCACGCTCATGATCAAGTACGACAAGGATTGGTCCTCTGACGAGCCGTGCGGCGTCACCTTTCCGACCGGTGCATTCGGCAAATCACTTGGCCGCTACGTCGATATCTATGCCCCCGACGACGCGCCTAGCCTGGCGCAAGTGGGTGAGCGCATCGTCTCCAGCTGGTGCCGCCGATCTTCCTGAGACCGTGTCTGCCGGCGAACGTGACTGTTGTCGAGGTGCAAGGCGTTATCCCTTTCGCGCTCGACGAGTTCGCCCGCCAGGCCCAGTCAACGTTCAACACGCTCGTCGATCCTGCCTCCAAGACGCGCTCGGTCGTGCGCGACGTCTGGGCGGTAAAATGGGAGGTGGTAAAGGGAAAGTTGGGCTACTTCGGCCTCGTCTGCTTGGTCGTCGAGGTGTTTGATCTTGACCGACACGAAGTTGACTCCGTCTCAGCTGCTCACCGTTGGCCAGGCTCGCTTCCGGGCTACTCGCTTTCGACCGTTTACGATCTGGGATTCATCAATCGATTTCCCTACTGCACTCGATGCAGCAGCACCATTCACGATATCGACAAGCGTCACACCTCGGACAAATGTCCCAAGATCAGGTGTAACGATTGCGGCCAAGTTGGGCATTTCAGATCAGCTTGCCCCCGCAACTACCTTCCACCCCAGATCGGCGCTCCGGCAATCACTTCGACTCCGCGCGCTTTGCCCATGTCGACGCCCCGTTCCCTCCCTACCCACGCTCCTCAAGGATATTTTGGCCACTATGCGAACCCTCCTCGTGTACCTTGCATCGCCCAGACTTCTGGGCTGCACCTTGCAAGGTAGACGAGCAGCTTCGCACAGGGTCGAATTCGGGCTGTTGATCTTTCCTCAAGGTCTCGAACATGAGTTGCTAGGGCGTTGCCCTCGTCATTATTGCGTATGCACGAGCATGCTGATCTACCCGAATACAGACGAGTTCGTATGACCGGCTTGATCTGACTCGTGTCGGGTCTGCCACGAGCGACCCCGTTGGGAGGAGCAGCGGTCGTTGAGGCGGGAGCGCTGGCCGGGGGAAAGAAAAGGGGG